AACTACTATATTATTTTTTTAATCTGTGTCTTGTTTAGTAAAAATTAATAGAAATTCATGAAACAAGTATTATTGACAAAGTGTTACGTAGTAAGTATTTTCGGAAACTAAAAATTAATGTAGAAACCAGTCTTACTAAGAAGCTTTAATCCAGTGGAGGACCAAAATAGTCACACCAAAAGACGCTATACAATAATCCCAACCAAACACAAGTGAAAACATCTTCAGCGTCTTCTATGAAGATAGTGAACCCCATGAATGATCTGTCCATATCCTTGGAATACAGGACTATATATCTCCTTCACCCATTTATCCTTGATTCCTGTCCCCAGAGTTCTGAATACTAGGTGCTATGAATTGAGTTCAATAATAACATATTTCAGAATTAAAATAAGTTTAAAAATTTAATTATAGCACAGATTTTTTAATTTAAAAATTATTATAAATTAAATAAGCCAATAGAAATGATTTTTAAAATCCCCAGAAACCTAGTATGCAGAAATATAACCACTATTCTCTCCAACATTTATCTTCTAGTACTTTCCATGCAGCCAGAATTTTGTTTTTAAGATTTATTTACTTATGCATACAGAACTTGGGTACAGGCCATAGGTGCAGGGGTGGTGAGAAAATTCACCAGAGACAGAGTAGGGAACAGAACAGGCTGACTGACAAAGTACACTGCTGAGGAGAGCAGCGAGAGGGTCAGGAAAGGTCTGCCATGCCATGTGGATCACCTCCGGGACGGGGATTGAGCTCATGCTGAAGTGGCTTTGGCTTTTCAGTGCTGTGCTTTAACCCACTGCGCCACCAGGGAGAGCAACTAGAATATTTTTATTAAAGATGATTTAAAATTCTACACACTATTTAAAGACTTGTTTTTCACTGAAAATATTGTAACACAGATACTCTCAAAGACTCATTTACTAATTTATTCATCCAACATACAATGTTTTTAAGCAGACACAATGACAATATAATGTAGGCCATGTAAAGATGAATTGTTAACTTTCTCCCCTCCATAAGTCTATTTCATACCTTAGACTCCATATAGTTAGAATATGTACATGAGAAATACCATAAAGCAATATAATCCTTACTACCATGTGAAGTTTTGGGAGATTTTTTTTAAGTCTACATTTCTTAAAGCATACTTTAAGTGTGCTCCATAGAGTGGATGCTATCGAGTATAGGCACATACAATACAAGAAGCAATCCTGTTTCATATCTGTGCCCAGAAAGCTTTAGAACATAATTAAAACATGCCAGACCCCAAAGTTCTTCCAGCTGTATGCTTTTACTGAGTTCTGAAAAAATTTTCCCAGTGTCACGGTACCTAGACCCATCATACAATCCAGAGGCCACTTTGCACTTTTAGAGTCTCCTGAGCATTGACTTATGCTGTCACTGTCATCAAAACCGTGTTGTAAACCATCTCTCAGTTTTCCATGCTGCCTGGCTTATTTCTCCCCAAAGAGGCTTCACAAAGAGAATTTTTATATAGTTTTGCAAATTCCTACTCCCATAAATGGCTTTTTTCTCTAACACTGGAGAAATACCCTTAATCAACTGCTTAAAAACATCATTTTTGCTCCAGGAGCTTTTATCCTCTCTGACTTAGATGGTGTCCATCAGGAAAATCCTCCTTAGTGCATGCATTATCAAAAGTCCTGTTCACCTCAATATTCTTTGTTTCTAATGGACGCCTGATTGGGAGTGTGGGGGAGAAGGTGACCCCTTGAAGTAGAATCCTCACTGTCATAGAGAATTGGTCAACAGTGTGTCACACTGTTATGGATTTAAATGCTGTGTTACAAAAATAGCAGCTTAAAGACACTCACACTTGTTACCTAACATTTTGCTTGGATGGAGTCTGCTGTGGTTTCGCTCCAGATCTCACTAGGTTGCAGTCAAGATGTTGGCTGGGCTGCGTTCTCTTGTGGCATGAGATGGGAAGTGTTTGCTTGTGGACATAAGGGATAGTGGCAGGAGGAAAAAACATAAAAACTATGTATATATATCAATAGCAATTCTTCAGTAAGACCTGGAATTGCTACAGGACACAGCAAAGTAAAGATGGTAAGCAGGAGAGAAAAATAATGACTTTTTGATTAAACAATCAAAATCCTAAAATTTTAAGTGTCCCTTCTGTTGGTTTGTGTTCACTTGTTTCACATTATTTGTGGTGTGTTTCACTGTGATTTTCCACTAGTACTAGGAACATCATGTGCTTCATCTTTGTTTCTTTCCAAAGCTGGCTGTTATGCTGACCTCAGCAGTTCCAAGGTCTATTTGCCATCTTCTCCCCTTGGTTCTCTTGTGCCCAACACCTAAATCCTCTAAAGAAGTAAGCTGCTTTGACTCAGAACTTGAGCACTGGAGGCCAGCTGCCATCTGTCTAAAACTTTTAAAGTAACTTTTTGCCAAGACAAATGTGGATTATAGGCAACAATCTGGGACCTTTCTGGTCTCAGAACAGGAAAAATAAAGGAACCCTTCAGCATTTGTTTAAGTACTTTGTTTACTAGCAGTGTTTGTGGTGAGTGAAAAATTGGTCCCTAATTGTGTGGGAAATAAAGCTGTGATCTGCATGCCAATGGCCAAATACAGACTTCAGAGACTTCACAGTTCTGAAACTGATATTTATGAACATCTGCTTTTCCCCCATAAATTTTAATATGGATTTCATCCTTTGAAACCTATGAAACTCCCAGGTGCTTCTTCAGTCTTTATCCTGGGAGCCTGCTTTTTAAAAAGTATCCTTACTTTTTTCCCATTGAACACATTTGAAATCTGTTTTGCGAAGATATTCTAGATATACAGTGTCTATTGTAATGCCAAAAATATGATATTGAATGATAGTAACTCAATCTGTTGTATTCAGTATGTCAAACCTCCAAAATATTCAGCCCCAAAACATGGAGCCACAGTAGACTTGCTAACAGACACTTGGAAACTAGTTCTAGTTTCTGCCTTTCATTATTCCACAACTATTTCCTTGATGTCCCCTAAAATAGCAAAATGTGTTTAAGTCATGGGGCCTTTAAGGCGCTGAGGTCATGGCAATACAAACAACAAAATCTCTGCCCTGTGTTTATGTTTCAATGAATGTAAAAAGTTCTCAAAAAAGGAATTCCCTTTAGAACAGAGAACCAGAAGCACTAAACCAAAACAAATGCTATGAGTTTGTAGAATTGAGTTTCTACACTTAAAACAAAATATGAGTATAGAATTGAGATCAGAAGTGATGGATGGAAAGAGGAGAACACAGGAGTTGGGGTCAGTGGTAAAGGACTATGGATCTGTTGGGGCTGTAAACCATTGTTACCTCAGTATAAAATAATACAGTCCTGAAAAATATTAATAGCAGACTTCAGGGGGATTCTTTTTCTTTTCTTTTTTCAACATTAATTCTCTTTACTTCTTGCAAACACGTATGGAGATGGAAAAGTCATCCAGTTTATTGGGAAAAAGAAGAAGCCGTAGTTCACTCTGAAAATTGTAAGATGCTATCATCACCTCACCACCCTAGAAAGAAATAGTGAGGGTACTCAAACATCAGTGAGAACTGCTTCAGCATGGAGCAGCCTGTTGGCAAAATGCAGGCTTTAGGTGAATATTTTGTGCAATGCTATACTTTGTTTTCTTTTTCAGGACTCTATTATTTTATACTGAGGTAACAATGGTTTACAGCACCAACAGATCCATAGATCCAAATATTAATAGTCCTGCTATTAATATTTAGATGATTATTGGGAAAATCTTGTAGTAGACCTGCAAGTCAACGATATTAATCTGTTCCTGATGTTGGATGAGACTCTGATACGACTGTAACAAGATAGAGATAGTTTTACTCTCAAGGAGCTTAGAATCTAATAAGGTTTTCCCCTCTGTCAAGAAACACAGACTCGGGTCAGGCCCCCTTTATGAGTATTGTATGAGACTGGGATAGGAGGAATTATTTATTGACTTTATATAAGAATAAATTAATTCTCTGTGATGGTTAAACAAGGAAAAAAGTAAAGAAAAAAATGTAGACATGGAAAACAAAAACTGGGTAGCTACTTGACCATTCTCCAGTTTAGACTCACCATAGACAATGTCTCCATCTCTAGACTCTTGGGTATGTTAGGATCTGTTCTGTGCATAGAAGATAAGAGTGTGAGGGCCAGAAGACAGGAAAGGAAATCACAGATCAACTGAGCACAGATGTAAATCTACTGGGCAGGTAACATGCAAGCCCATCTAGATCAAGCTCCTTCAAAGTGCACTTCTGGCCACCCTTTCATAGAGGGCATAAGTCATTTACATAATAGGGAAACCGCAAAAGGACAGTTAAAGCTATTTAATCTGGTTAGGCTAATAGTTCCCCATCCATTTACAATGTAATGGAACCTCTCTTTGCCTTTTAAACAGGAATACATTGGCAGGATGCCACAGGAACATGTAGAACACAGCAGCCTTCTTGGTGTGTCACTTCTACTCAACTGTGGGGTGATAATTAATTTACTGATAAGTAATTTATTATTTTCCATTAAATTACAATTGTATTATGGAATGGAATGCAAAATTTGCATGCACTTTCAAGATTAAGCTTACAATTGAAAGAGTGCTGGAGCCAAAGGCAGAGGGACAAGCCCTCTCCATAGTCCCCGTCGTCCTCTGCAAAACCAACTTAATCAAAATAATTCTCAATATTAATAAAGAATAAATAAAAGATTAAAATGTCCAGTCACATTCACACTGCCACTCAGGTACTCCCTTTTTTTAGAAACTCTGAGTTCACTTCAGGCTCTGACAACAGAACCCCACCCGGACATCCGGGGCTTATTCTTATTTCCCACCCCATCTATTGGAAGAGCTTGTATGATTGTGCTTTTCCAAGGTTGCCCAAGGGAAGTGTTCTCCTTTCCTGGACTTAGCATTGGCCTTCTGCTTCCCAGAATTTTGTGTAGCAGCAAATCATTTTATAATCTTTGTGCTTTGTGTTCCTGAAATAGGATCTGGACCAGGTACAGCTCCATCTGGAAGAAGTGAGATTCTTTGATGTGTTTGGTTTCAGCGAAGCAGCAGGAGCATGGCAATGCTTCATGTGCAACAACCCTGAAAAAGCAACCGGTGAGAGACCCCCTTGGTGCTAAAAATCATGTGGAACCCTGGGATTTATAAGGATCTACAAGCTTGGCTATTCTGATTGGCCTTCTTTTTGTATAAACATTCTGGATTGTAATATTGTGCAGAGGTGTGCCGATTCTCCATGCTGAGAAAGGGATCTCACTAAAAGGGAGTGAGGAAAAGGAAAGATGTTGAAAGGGAGAAAACACAGACCAGAAATGATCCAGAGAAACCATACCTACATATATGTACATATATGTGACTATAAAAAGCAACACTGGCTTTTATGCCCAGAAAACATTCTTCATTTCATCCCAGATGACCTTGCGGGTTAGAAACAAATAAGCATCTGTCAGGAGCCTCAAAGAAATGAGAAGACCTGAGTGAGTAAGCCTACAGACTGCCTCACCTCCTCATCACCCCATACACTTTGGCTTGATGAATGAACACTTGTTGAGTAAGGAAGGACTTGAAGAAGAACATGATGGCTGGTTTCACCTTCCCTTCCTTTATGTAGCCCAAGGAATTGGTCTGTGGACTCGGGCTAATTGTAGTTATGAGTGACTATGAGTTAAGCCTTATGCTAACCATGTCAGAAATTAAATTCACAAGAATCTTAGGTGATAGTACGAATATTATCTTCTCTTTACTGATGGGGAAGCGGAAGCAGAGGTGATTTGGTAACGGCCTGAAGTTACATAGGTAGTGAGTTAAATGGCAACTCTGAAACTCAGACTCCAGAACCCAGATGCTTTCCCATGTCGCCATTCTGTCTCCTGCTTATACCTGCCTCCAGCCTGATCAGTGGAAATATGTTATACTGTTTTCATAAGTTGTTCTGCCCATGGAAACTGAATATTTCATCACTAAATTGCCATGAGACAACACTGAGTTTTTGACACTGGTAGGGCTGACAAGCTGCAGTTTCGACTAAGCGAGCAATTAAACACCACAGCACACAAATCCACTCTGAGGAGTAGCTGTGCTCCAGAGGGCCAGGGAAGATACCACCTGTGCCCAGCCCTTAAATTTTAGGATTTTGTGCATCTTAAAGATTACCCACTGTGGCAAGTCTATCCTCTTGCTAGCTGCCAACAGTTATGCTGAATAGAAAAAAAAAAAATACGTGTTTATTTGGCCAGATGGAGACGTGAGGGTCTCATAGAGAGGTACCAATTAAAATGCATTACCCTGTGGAACCAGTAAGGCTGGAAGAAGCTGGCAGGAAGGACGCAGCTTTTGTAAGCGCAGATTGTTGGCTGATTACGGAGTTGGGATGGAGCGGGTTCCAGAGTGAACACCCCAATTTCTTAAAAGTTAATTCAAAAAAAAAGTTAATTCAAGCAAATAAGGAATTGGGGAATTGAATGCTTTTATTATAAAACTTTCTAATTAGACCCTATTTCACCTATGAAAAAGAGCATAAAAGGAACTCTGTTTGAGAGGATAAGCAAGGTAAGGTGCCTATTTTAGGGGGCTCTGAGAAGCCCTTAAGAATTTTCATTCCCCGTAAGCTGAGCCCTTAATTCAATAAACATTTAATCATATCGAGCTAAGAGAGGCCATCAAAAAGGAGCTGTAAGTTAAAAACGCAGTTTCCCTTTAATATATGTTTTCTCAAATTCACTACCCATACGTGAAAAGAATATTTTGCACATTCACTCTTTATTTCTTTCACCATTTCTTATTTGTTTTTCTCACAGTTAAATATAGACTGAGAACATATAGCAATAAAAATTCAAACAAGGCCAAATATTTTATAACAGAACATATTGAATCAAACGGTTTGGCTCTGAAAACTTCAGTGTGCTTAGATTTCTTTGTTTATTTCCTTTTGCTACATGAAAGGGGGGTTGAGCCTCAGAGAAATCCTATTTTAAGTGATTATTTTTATCCAAACTTCTGGAATTCCTGAAAATTCATATAGGTTGTTGATCACATCTTATTTTTATATAAGCATATAAATTATATATTTACCCTGAACATAATACTGTTGACAAATGCATTATTCATGAAGATGATATTTGCAATCATGTTCTGTTTAAATTTTAAATTCAAAGATGATTATGACAAAGGAATAAATATTTAGCTATTTGGATATACACAGCTAGTTTATTACTTCCATCCCCATTTTTTATATATAATGTATGTTTGTTGTGTTGTTTGAATATCTTCCACAGATTAAGCATTGAAATAAAATGGGAGTGAGATATAATATCTCTGCTCTAAAAGGATTTATAATCCAGATAGGGACAGAAGGTATAGATAGAAAAATCTAGCATACTTCCTTGAGTGTTTTTAGTAGGCAATAAATATTTGTTGAGTAAATGAATAATGTTTAAAAATAGCAGCCAAGTATATCTTGAGTATTAAAATTTGATGCCTCAGATTATAGTTATGTGTTAATCCTATCAAGTATATCAATGCACCATGCCCAGTATATTTTGAAACTGGTAAGTAGAGTTTGGCCCCTGTTTCCTCCCAGAGAGATATCACTATGTGTATAACGAAAGGTCCACTTTTCTGCCTGCTCTGCCTGAGTCCCATGATTGTGTTCAGTTTCAACAACAAACCACTAAGTCCTGATGTTGTAGCAGCATCTGGAAGATGTCTAGAGACGTAGCTTTGGAGTCCAGGGCAAAAACTGAAGAAATTGGATTTGGATTGTTTTCCTTCAATGGACTGGCAATGAAATGAAATAATTGTTTCCAAGTATTCCTTGCTCCACTGTAAAAATACTGCTGGCCAGTATCTCCATGAATGAAGAACAAAACTTGAGCTCATTAGAAATTTTTGATTAGACACCAGGAAAGACTTTCTGAAATATAAAGCCTTCCTAACGGTGTTTTGACTAAACTATAGGACCTCTTCAGAAACGGGCAGCAATCCACTGGCTTACTTGACACCCTTAGGTACTGAAGTGCATTAAGTATGGGAAGTACATTAGAGGAGTGTACTTCTTCTAATTAGGAAACGTTCTAGTTAACTGCCAGCTCCAGGCCTCTTCTACCACCTCTACCACCAGCACACAGAAATTCAAAGAAATTTAGTATCTGGTATCAATAAAATATTTTTTTATCCAATTAGGTGTGAATGAAGTTAGGGAAAATAGTGCTAAAATAGTCCAAAGGTCCTGTAATGATTATAATTGTTGGTGTTTATCATGCTATGTACAAAACTTAATGTACATTTTTCTTTTTTTTCATCATTAAAGATATTTAAAGATAAGGAAACTGAAACATCAGGTTAAAAACATGAAATATTGGAAATTTTGAAAATAATGTTCCATGATGTTTGAATATCTTGGAAAAACCAAGACCTCCCCCAATGAATTCCACTCAATGAAGAGCAGGGACTTTATACTGAGAAGGTGTGGGAAGTGATTGCATGTGGGGAAATGGTTACAGTAGAAATGATCCCCATTCTCCAATGCTGATTCACTTTCTGATAATCATTTTTTAAAAGTACAGACTAGTAGAACTAAAAATCACTTAAATTATTCATGAATCCTCAGAGACGTGCCTGGTGTTACTTATTACCAACCCCACTGCTCTGCAAAGAGGAGATAATAGAGATTGAGCAAGTAGACTTAACAGGACAGACTCATTTTTGGAAAAACAAACCAAAATCTTTTATCAACTATCTTCATGTCTTGGAATTGCTAGTTCATGTTGACAGTAAGTGTTAGTCATCTGGACCGGCCAGGAACACATCTGGCTTTTGATTCAGTTACATTTTTAAAAGGAAGAGAAAGAACTGGATCATGATTTTCACTCTTGCTTCTTGAGACACATACATGCCTTTGTTCTTTCACCCTGCAAAGAACAACTTGGAGGTGGTTTGGGCCGTTGTGTCCTCCCCCATGACTTTGAATGCTCCCCAGTGTGAGCACAATCTTAGCCACTGTCTATTTAGATATTGAAAGTAATTATCACTAGGGGGTCTCCTTAACTTGTAAAAGGAAATACAATAAATTTTCAAAAATCTTCTATCATGATTCTCCTGTAGAACTTGATTTCAAAAATTTATGCTGTAAGAGCATGCTGTCCATTAGTTCACATGGGTCCAACAAGGTCCAGCTCCCCTTTGTTGGATGGACACTTTCAGCAAGGGCTAGGTGACCCTCCCTCCATTCAAATGCCAAAATGGAATGGGCTAAACTAGATAATAACTTTCTTGCCTCATCCTGTGACTCTCCCCTCCCAAATCTGGGTTCTAAGGTCATTATCTCTATGGACATCAGTGGCCTGCAATTCACCTCTGCATTGGCTCGGTCTCAGTCCTTGCCTTACTCACCTTTTAGCAGCATTCAGTTTGTTGAGCAATTCTTTCTTCTTAGAACATTCTCTTCCTTTAACTTTTATTGCAAAAAAAACCTCCTCTGGTCTCCTTCCTATTCTCACTTGCTCCCAGCCTCCTTTTGATGCCTGCTCACTTTCTCCAGTCACTCATCATTAGAGTCCTTCTCTTTTTCTACTGTCACTCTCTTCCTTCCAGTCTTCATTGGTTCTGCCTCTTCAGGAGTCCCTGCTATGAGACAACTCCCAAAAGTGTATCTTGCAGTCTATCTCCCACCTCCGAACTCTATATTTTTATCTCATATCACTTATTTGCTGCATCAAAAGCACTTCAAACTCAGCACATTGAAATTAGAATGCATGATTGCTTCCCTTGCCCCTAAAAAGTACTTGGTTTCTCCTTACAGCATTTCCTACCTCAGTAAACCCAAGATCACACATTCTGTTGCACCAGCTAGAAACCAACAGCCCTCTCCCTCACTCCCATCAATCCACCACCCAGTATTATGGATTTTATCTTGTCTACTGCTCTCAACTCTGTCCACCTCTCTCTGTGGTACTCCAATAAGCTACCATCATCTCACACCTAAAATAATGGCAAGAGCTTCCTTCCTGGACCTTCCAATCTGCTTCCCACATCACAGCCAGAATGAGTTCTTCAAGGCACAGATCTGATGGTACCTGCTCCTGCATAAAACCTTGCAATAGCTTCCCATGGCTCTTCATTAAAAGACCAAACTCCATCACATGCCTCCTGGCTTCACATGCCACAGTAGTTCCCAGCCTCTCTCCTCTCATGCTGCCCACGTCTCGTCCTCTCTGCTCTGGCCAGAGGCTCCTCCAGTTTCCCAAACCCACCTCCTGCCATGAGCTTTCCATGTGCATTTCTGTAGCTCTGCCTACCCTTTCTCCCCTCTTCACTGAGTTCATGTAGATCCAGGCTTCCCATTGTAACTCAAACTCCCTGCCAAAAAGAAGCCTTCTGTGCCCACCCTGGCACCTCAGACCTCCAGCCTAACCTGATCACAGAAGCCACCTTGCTTTTTAGGTGTAACTGTTTAATTGAGGCTGTTATCTCCTGTAAATATTAAGTTATGAGAAGGCCCTCCCCTCATCTCTTTATCCTTAGCCCCCCAGCACCATACCGATGGCCAATGAGTACTCACCACGTAAGGGAACAACAGTTTGCACACTCTTAGAAAACTTAAAGTAGTAAAATTTTTCTTACAGGTGAATGAACTCACAGGGATTCATTTTAAGTGAAAAAAAAGTGGAAAATTTATCATTACATATCCTGTGTACTTTTGTACCAAAATATTCTTGTCATAAACTGCTGTCATCTTAAATGAGTTCTTTTCAAAAGTTCTATGAGACATAATTTTACTTAATAGAGTAAGGTATTGTGTGTGTGCGTATATCACAGAGTACAAGGGTATTTATTTTATAAATCTTCATGCATGTGATTTTATGCTGCAGTCTGTTCTTTAATGTCATGGAAATGTCCTGACAATTTTCTTCTCACTATTGGTTTTACAACTTTATTATTTTGTTTTTTAAAAAAGATTTATTTATTTATGCATGCAGAACTGGGGTACAGGCCAGAGATGCAGGGATGGTGAGAGGCTTCACCAGAGACAAAGTGGGGAGCAGAACAAGCAGATTGATGAAGTACACTGCTGAGGGGAGCAGCAGGAAGGTCAGGAGAGGTCTGTTGTCCCCTGTGTGTCACCTTCCTGGTGTGGGATTGCACTTGTGCTAAAGCAGCTGCGGCTAGCTTCGTAGTGCTGTGCCTGGACCTGTTGCGCCACCAAGGAGGACTCAACTTTATTATTTTGTAATTTTATAGGACCTCTCACTCTCATCTACCATGAGACAGGATACTTTTAGCTCCTAGACCTACTTGAGTTACATTTGAATCACCTGGGATCTCTTTAAAAACTCAGGATCCCTCAACACACCCCAGAATTCTGCTTTAGGTGGTTTGAGTTGGGGCCTTGAAATGTGCATTTTAACCAGCCAGTAGGTAATTTGATGTAAGTGGCCCTTGAAACATAGTTTGGGAAACTGCTCTCCATGTTCATAAAATGGTAATTCTCAGGAATGTTTAGATTTCAACCGATGAGCAGAGAAGCCTATGATTTTATCCCAGAACAGCTGCTTTACAAACTTGCTTCTGAGTTCAACGGTCCTTCCAGCTTTATAGGCTCTGTTCTTTTCTTTTCTTTATTTTTTTTTTAAAGATTTATTTATTTGTGCATACAGACTGGGGTACAGACAGAGGCCCAGCTTCACCAGAGACAGAGTGGGGAGCAGAACAGGCAGACTGACAAAGTACACTGCTGAGGGGAGCAGCGGGTGGGTCGGGAGCGGTCTGCCACGCCATGTGGGTCACCTCTGGGGCAGGCGGGAATCGAACTCATGCAGAAGTGGCTTTAGTTTATTAGTGCTATGCTTTAACCCGCTGCACCATCATGGAGGGCTCGGCTCTGTTCTTTTCATGAACATCCCCTCACACATCCTTCTTGTTACTGCACTCCTTTGCTGCACTCTTAAACATCTTTTCTCTTCTTCAGCTCAGGTGAAACTCTAATGTCACCTCCTTGCTACAGGTAGGACCTCTTTTGTTTGAGTACAGTGATGCCTCCGTTCATTTCTCCAGCAATGCTCACCACGCTCTACATCGAGCTGTGTAATTTTAAAATGCTTCATTTCCCCTGCAAGATTATAAGCTAAGATCCCTGGGAATTGGTCTTTCTTAACCTCTCACATCTACAGTTCTTTACAGCTTATCAGTGGGCAGAGGTATGTGTGGGATGGATAATTGACAGATAAACAGACCATATTCCTCACTACTTTGTTCTTCTCCTTGTTGGATTTCTCTATTTTAAGATATTTGTTTGGTATTAGTTCAGTCTTACTCAGAACTTCATGTTGAGTAAGATTAGCACCTTTAAAATTTATTCTTACCAACATAAATATTTTCAACTCTTGGTGCACAAAAGAAAGAGAATTAATGTTTAAATATTTGTATTAATATTCTGAAAATCTTTTTTAAAAAGATTTAGGGCCCTCCCTGGTGGCACAGCAGGTTAAAGTACATCACTATGAAGCTATCACACCACTGCAGCATGAATTCAATCCCCGGATGGGGAGCTGACCCACATGTCTCCCCAGACCTCTCCTGTCTCGCGCCTGCTGCTCCCCTCAGCAGTGTATTCAGTGAATCTGACTGTTCTGCACCCCACTCTGTCTCTGGTGAATCCTCTCACCCCCTGCACCTCTGGCGTGTACCCTAGTTCTTGTATGCATAAACAAATAAATCTTTTTTTAAAAGGGAAGTATCTGCTGCACCATATGGGTCATCTCCCTGGCCAGGGATCCAGCTCATGCTGCAGTGGCTGTGGAGAGCTTCCTAGTGCTGGCTTTAACTCACCTCCAGGGAGAGCCCTATTCCGAATGCCTTTTAAGTTGATAAAGACAGTAAGAATGTGGGTGCCTGTTCCACTAGAGTTTTCAGTTTAATATTCCATAGCTTCTTTAGACAACTGATAATTAAAGACAGGATGAGATCCAGGTTGGCAGAGAATGTCTTAGCCAAATTGTGATGCTTTAAATGAAATAATGTAAATTTAAATGAAATACTAGTGATACTTTAAATGAAATAATTGGCAAGTATGAAAATATTTTAGCAAACTTTTGTGTTATATGCAAATAAGACATTTTAAACATATGATCATTCCTCCAGAATGTCTCACTCTCCACATGTTATTTTCCAAATAGAAAATGATCATCCCTAAAAAGAATTACTTCTCTGTTTTGACCATGAAGCAATGTTGCATCACACTGTAATGATTGTTTACAAGGATGTGCTCTGACAATAGACCTATTAAAGGTGCATGTCCAGTCATGCATATGTCAGACAAAATTGAAAAAGAAATTTTTTTGAACATACAGGAGAGCAGTTGGAAATTTCTTTCTTCTCCCCTCCCCCCCATTGAAACTTTTAAAATTAGTGCTACAGTTACAAATAGCCTGACTCTTAATGGAATTTTCTGAAGCTGACTCTGATTTGTAATTTGGGCCCTAACATGCAACTGCCGTAAATGTCTATTAACAATTCCTTCCTAACACATTTTCCATGGACTTTTCCCTGGGCCAGTTTTTGCTGGGCTACGATGACTCTTTGTTCAGCAGCATTTCTCTACAGTGGTAGAGAAATGCCCGCCATTCATCTTGAGTTTCTCAAAAGGGAATGAGTGCAACACCCCATCCACATTGTGTGCCTCAAAGGACTCCTTCACCAATGTTGTCAAGCACCCTTGCAAACTTTTGTCACACATGTTCTTTAAATGAAACATTTGAACCTGCCTTTCAGAAAAATAGCTGATCAGTCCCATGTCAGATCCGGAAGGCTCCTCATGCAAATCTCATGCAAAAGAAATGGAATATTTCAATTCAGCATGAAAATTTCTGACATTGCAAAGGCTTATATTAAAAAAAAGAAAAAGATTTATTTATACATATAAGAGCTGGGGTGTAGGCCAGAGGTGTAGGGGGTGAGAGGACTCACTAGAGACAGAGTAGGGAACAGAGCAGGCAGGTCTACTGAAATATACTGCTGAGGGGAGCTGCAGGTGGGCTGGGGGTATAACTCATGCTGCAGTGGCTGTGGATAGCTTCAGAGTGCTGAGACTTAACCCCTTGCACCACCAGGGAGGGACCTGCAAAGACCTTTCCACCTCTATCATCATGTTTACTCAGACATACTCTACTTCAGTGTCAGGTTAATACATTCGTTCACCAAATACAGATTCTTACTGTTTGCCAAGTGATGTAGGTTAACCCAACAGTGAACAAAACGAAGACTCTACCCTTGCGGAGCTAAAAGGGAAAGGCATAACTAGATGAACACCAATAACTACTTAGAAATGACATAGTATATTAAAAATAAAATGCATGAGAACTTGTAGCCACTCTAGTCTGGGTTTGGACTAAGTCTCCCAAAGGAAGCAGCATTTGAATAAAATATGAACTGATCATTTACTAACTAGATGAAACTGGGAATGTGGCTCATGGAGAGAATGTTTATTTCAAAAAGTGGAAATATGTTCAAAAGGGTTGGGTGAGTTTGCCTGTGCTGCTGTTATGTAATCAGGAAAATGTATCTTAGGAGCACTGCATTGACTTTTGCTGCCAAAGAGCTAAATATACTTGGTTTGCAATTGTTTATAAAGCTATACTTCTAAGCAGTTGATGTGAAGAAAGTAAGAAACAAAGGAGTTAAGAGGCACAAGAAAGGTGGATATGTGGATGAAACTTAAAAACTGCTCACAGATGCTCTTAAGTGAATGGTATTTCTTTTGAAAATCTAGATAAGGGCTGTCAACACTTTCTCATTATCATAACTAAATTGTACATTCTTTGGGGAAGAAAATCAGGAAGGTTAATCAAATTCATAATTTATTATTTCACTTTACAAATACACATACTGGATTCTGGTTCACTGTACAATTCTAACTTTGGGTTACTTGCCAACTAAATAATGGAAAATAAATGACTTGATTGTTTTTTTGCCTTCCACAGTTATAAATCAAGATGGCCAGCCCCTCATAGAGGGAAAACTTAAAGAGAAGCAAGTTAGATGGAAGTTCATCAAAAGATGGAAAACCCGTTATTTTACTCTGGCTGGAAATCAGCTTCTGTTTCAAAAAGGGAAGTCTGTAAGTGCTTCAGTCTTAGTTACTTTTTTTTTCTTTTTTTCTCATTGCTTTTTTTTTTTTT